TCGCCCTCCCCCGCCCCTCCCCCGCGCCTCCCCCGCTGCTCCCGGCGGGGGCAGAGCTGACGTCGGGAAGATCCCGCCTATAGGATGCGAGGCGTCGGCGGAGCTCCGCTTTCCCCTCACTTCAAATCCAGCCGGGGAGCGCCGGTGCTGAAGACCGGGAGAGACTGGCAATGCAGCGTGGCAGCAGCTGCCAAAAGTTCTCGCTTTTTGGACTCGGTTCTTCTCGGCAGACCTGAAGCTGGGACTTTCACAAGCCTGGATTTTGAAAATGCCTTCCGTTTACTGGTCTTGGTATTTGATAAATGGCCTTCCAGAGCTGAGGAATACCTAACTACGAGACAAGCCGATGAGGAAAAGGCAAGTTTTAGGATTCAAACTATGCTAAAAGATGTTTTCCTTTCACCTTTTGGAAACCGTACTGTTGAACAAGGTTCAGTTGCTTTTTGGTGGGTTTATTTTCAACATATGCCACAAAGTGATATGACTTTTAAACTCTTCTGACTGTTTAGAGCCAGTAAACAGTGTCAAAATTAAAGCAAGGCATTTATTTGTGGATAATCAAAGAAGAAAGCTCTCTTCTAAGAAGAGCAAGGTAGGGCAATGGCATCCGGGGAGTGCCTTCTGCTCGACCTAGAGACAGATAACTTCATTCTCTACAACATCTCTGTCAACCAGAGCGCAAACCTGTCCCTCCTCAGTGATGACTGGTTCTACCCAGCGTTCCTCTATGCCATCCCCACGATCTATGGGATCATCATTTTGATAGGCCTAATTGGCAATATCACTTTAATCAAGATCTTCTGTACTGTGAAATCCATGAGAAATGTCCCTAATTTGTTCATCTCCAGTTTGGCTCTGGGAGACCTGCTGCTTTTAGTGACTTGTGTGCCTGTGGATGCCAGCAGGTACCTTGCTGACGAGTGGCTGTTTGGCAGAACTGGCTGCAAACTTATCCCCTTCATACAGCTCACCTCTGTAGGGGTGTCAGTCTTTACTCTCACTGCTCTCTCAGCTGACAGGTAAGCTGGCTGCTGTAGCCTTGAAGTCAGCATAACTATGACTGGATAAAATGCATGATCAAGAACGCGTATGTCTAGGTAACAATTATCTTTTTCATGAGAGAAGAAGAATAACTTCAGTTAATTTATGAGCACACAGCTTGTGGAGGATGCAGACTGAACACAGGATACTTTTTCGAGGCTAAACCAAATGTTTGTACAGTTTAGCTAATGGTCTAGATTAATTAAAAGAAAAACAAGATGAGATCAAGCTAAAGACCAGAAAGAAAATACCATTGACACTCTGCTAAAAGACAGCATGCTCATATTTGCCAAAAAGATAATTGATCTATATTTCATGAAGAGTGGAGTCACTGGAGCAGCAACTTGAAGTGCAGTTAGAATCAATTCTTTCTAGTGGCTTGCTTCCTTAATGCTAATTACATGTGAGGCAATATTTCATGAAATAGGTTCCAAATATTCAGATGAAGATGCCTGAAGCCAGGAATCTCAGTTTGCTATAGTCAGTATATTTCCCTTGACTAAATTCTCTTCCCCCTATCCAATCAAAACAGGTCTATGCTGTTGGTTCAGAAACTTTGTCTTCCAATAGCATTCAGTAGAAACATCATGTAACATCTGTGGTATTTTAGAATATATGAAAACAAGTTTGACTTTAACAAATTATATGCTTCTAATAAGCCAGCTCAATGTTAGATTCCTGTGAGGCTTTGGAAACCCATCTTGGAGCATTCAGATTTAAACTCAAAAGACATTTTAATTTTAATGTTTTTTGGGAGGATTAAGCCTACCTTTCTGGGAATGTGTTAAGTATTTATTAGACTGCTAGCTTTCTCAGAAACGCCTATGTCCATGAGAGAAACTGGGATATTTTGTTTCTGATTTGAATGCTTCAGAAAGATTAAGGAATACATTGTCATCATTCTGAAGTTACAAAATAACACAGAAATACTAAGATTTTCAATGAGAAAAAAATTCTTTCAGCCTTAGTTTGCTCTAAAAAGACTTGGATTGCATTACTTGGTCACAAAGAAGTTAAACTTGGTTTGCTTTAGGTAGCCCCTTGAATGCTCCTCTGTGTCTCTCCTCTCAACCCACTTTAAAACATCAGACTATTTTTGTTAGGTTTTCAAGGTTATTCATGTGCATATTTGAGTATACAGTAGATAGTCTCAACAAAAGCAGATGACTCCCAATATCTTTATTATTCTCCCAATAGGTTTATTAACTCCTTTGTTGTTTTGTACCTATAAAAATAGCACCGTCCTCACCTATAGTGGATGACAGACAGGCCTATGTGTAGACAAAAGTCTTCAAACAATTTACTCTAAAAGTGTTGGAAAAACAGGAAAATTGCACAAATCCTCTAGTAAAGGGCCACCAACAGTTTTATTTCTGTTTCATGTAGTGGCTGTTTCTCCTCCCCCCCCCGCCCCCCTGTCTACTCTGAAGAAAATTTTAGGAAAATAATAATTATTTCTCCAGGAAGCTCCTCTTTCCAAAGCTGTAATGTAAGTTGTTTTAAGCAGTGTCAAGAAAAGAAAGATACATCATCGAGAAGATTGTTAGAGAAATTTATCACTATCTGGTCACATGACACAAAGTAAACGTTGCAAATGCTTCTACTAAGCAGCACATCAATACCTTTTTTTTTTTTTTTTGCCTAAAGGGAGTGGACAAAACAGAAAACAGTAGCTGTGGCAAGCCTGAGTTTGGTAACTTTAAATTCTGAACTGCAACTTTATCTGGATCCTGTTAACCATTGTACTGCAATGGTCATCAAACCTTGCCACACTTGTCAATGCCACTTGGCTATAAAGGAGATAGGCATGCATATGAGAGAAGACTTTATGTTCCCATTTCAAAGGGATCATTTGACCCTTTCCTAATGCATTTGTTGTCCACTGCAGAAGGAAATAACAACAAAACTCTTACCTTTACTTGATCTATGAATCTTAGATGCTGTGCATTGAACCACAATAGCCCTTGTCTACTAAGTTTGCTGAAGTTTCCATTTTGGTGTATTAACAGCAGATAATTTTGTTACAAAATAATAATCTGTATTTTGTCAGCTCGAAGTCCCATAGTCTGTCTTTATTTTCTTAAAATTGATACCCTGGACTCTAGGCCAAATTATTAATCATGTCAGAATCATTAGGAAAGTAAGCTTAAAATATACAGGGAAAACTTCCAAGATGTGAGTTGACTGAACAGCATCGTGATGCCTGCCTCGGTCTTTGAAGGAACTGGCAGCCCAAAATCCTGCTGTGGCCTCTAGGGCAGGAAGGTGCTGAGCATGGAGCCTGGGGAAGTTTCATAGGCAACCGTTTCTGAGGTCAGACATGACATTGCAGGAAGGATCAGTAGCAGCTCAACCCTGCAGAGGAACACCTGCAGAAGACAGGGATATGGTGGTGAGACCAGGGTAACATGAAGGACCTGGGAGTCCAGCAGATAACACTGCTCAGGCACAGCTCATATCACTTGGCTTTTGCTGTGGTAGGCAGCAGGGTGTCCTCTGGTCTATGAAAGAGACACCTTCAGAGGAGATAGGATAAGTTGCCATTTTGGACACTGACCTCCTTCCTTGGGTACAGAGTAAGCCTTGCTATTTAGCATAGGCATCTGCCTATGTTTGGGATGGCTAATGTTCAGTGATGTGAACCCTACCTGAGGTGCTTGCATGAGACATGTGAATGTCATAGTTCTTATGATACAAAGCCATAGACTGTGGGAGAAAAAAAAAACCCTCCTAAACCATCTGCTTGAACAGCATCACATGGCACTGTCCCTGAGGAAAGAGAGACTGCCTACAGTACCACAGACCTTTTGTTTCTAACTGTAAAAAAATAATAATAAAACCCCTTTAGTTCCAGTGTACTTCCACTGACAGAGGCAAGTGGGGACAACTGCTGGTGTTACTGAAGGTATTGTAGTGATGCCTGGAGAGACTCCCCATTGCAGGGTTCTGAATTCTGCTGCTGAAGGAAAAGCATTAGTGTGTGATGCAACAGGGTCATTTCCAAACATGTAACCATTGAAAAACAAGATGAAAGGCAGGGGGTAGGTGTGATGGGCAAATACAGTATGTGAGAGGGCAGTGAGATGTGTGCTACATGTTAAGATAATTGTAAAAATCATCTCAGTTGCTCTGGATCACCTTCTCAAAATGATGGGCACAGCTCTAATAGATTTTTGCACAGCCCACATCACGGGCACAAGCGTATACCTTCACAAGGTACACTTTATTCTTCTCATTTCCGCTTCCCCTTGTTAGGCAGGGTTAATGATAACACATTTATCACCTCCTAGAGACTGCAAACAATCAGCTAAGTGCCAACCTCCAACACATAGGACCAAAAGCTGCTCAGTGGTTTGACCCACGGAGATCTCATGATTGTCCAGATGATTGACAGTTCACTTATAAACTTTTCTCAGGGAAAAATAAAGGGACAAACTGGTGATCTCAGGTTTTCCTGCACGGGCACCTTCCCAGCCTGTAAGGTGCTCTGTGTGAATATGGATGCAGAGGAGCATACCTGCACAGGTTTGGTAGTATGGGGCACAGCCAAAGGCTCCCCAGGTACTCAGGTTGGCTCTAGGTACAATCCTGAGATCTCATCAGGCTAAGGTTAAATTATTTGAGAGAGTGTGTGAGAAAGGGCGAAAAAGTGTAACAATATTAGAAACTTATTTTCTGTGGGACTACTCTGCTGGCTGCATGGTGCTTGCATCTGTCTAGCTGAGGATGCAGGAGCAGTGTGAGCTGTCGGTGAGACTTGTTTTCCTGTGAGCTGGGCAAATTCGCAGAGCAAGCAGGAGAGGGTTAAAGACTGTGGTGTGCTTACAGCCACCCTCCATGAGTGATCAGGCCCAGAGCTGAGTGTACAAGAGCAAGGAAGCAAGCAGTGGATGCGTGTGCATGCCTGTTTGTGTGGTTTAGCCTGTGAATGAAGTTGGCAGGGGAAGGACTGCAGGTCTGCCCGGCTTCTCTACTCTGATGAGACACTGGGTTTCTTCAGCTGCTGCTCAGCTCATCCCAGCAAAGGAGCTTGGGTTCACCTACCATCCTGCCCTCCTTCTCCTAGGTGCAAGGGGAAGGGGTGTAGAGGTGCCTGTGAGAGTGGAGACACCTGGGCTGCTAGCCCAGGCAGAAAAGCCAAGGCTGGCTCAGCGAGTGACAGGAAACTAAGGAAAATCTTTGCACAGTAAGAGGAAAAGCAGCCCATTTAATTGCCCTTGTCATGGGAGATGTCTCTATTTAATTGACTGTTTCTCCCATGATTGACAGGGTTTATACATTTGCATTTGAATTACCCAAGCTGTCAAGCACTCATCATACTTCCCCACTGTTTTGCTGACATAGTAAAAAATAAAAATGCCTTGGCACTCATGCAGTGAAACTTTCCTGAAGGTTTTCATGCTGCTTTCACAAGCACACAGCACAGTGTAAAGTGTAACTGGATTTTACAAGTGGCACCTTTAAGCACCTTGGATTATGTGGATTTTAGCACTGGAAAACTGCAGCAACACCTGCCAGCTGGGGCTGTCTGCTGGCCTGTGGTGGAAGGGGATAATGGTGCAGTGAGAGACATGGGGTGACATTATGAGTGAGGTTAGGTGTCTTTCTTTAGTGAGACCAGGTGCAGAAGGCAGAAGTTGCAGTCATGTGGGAGACCTGAAATGAGGATGTCAGATTTAGAAATATTGACCTCAGTGCTTGAGTACAGGGATGCTGCAGTGCTTCCAGCTATGTTGGGTCCCTTGGAGTGGGTCACAGCTGCAACTTTCTGACGTTCCTCTGAACTCATACGACAGCTTGTCTAAGAAATAAAAAACTTCAAACAACCTTCTCTCCCAAAAAGCAGTGGTGGAAGGAAAGAAACAAATCCTGATTTTCAGGAAATTCACTTTTAAACATGCAAAATATTTTGAGTGAACTCATTCCTTTTGTTGTTTGGATGTCTCCAGCCACTTATATTATGCAATATTAATACTAT